TCATGATGCTGAAAATTTTAAATCCTTAGTGATTTTCTTTTTTTGCTTATTTTGTTAACTACTGAGAAGTTTATTTCCACTATAATTATAATTTATTTTTTCTTAATATTTCTGACAATTTTTGCTTTCAACATTTTGAGGCTATGTTATTAGAGGCATAACACTCACTTTCAAAAGTATCTTCCTGGTTAAATGAACTATTATTTTGTCCCCTTTAGCAACTGTAGTTGCTACCATGTGCTATTTGTCTATTTGCCTTGTTTATTTTTCTTTATTCCTCTTCCCTGCCTTTTTTTTTTTTTTTTTTTTACTGATTTTTAGAGAGAGAGGAAGGAAGAGGGGGAGAAAAAGAGAAACCTCTGTGTGAGAGTGGGACATCTATCCACAGCCTCTAGCACAGCCATGGGCAATCTATGGCCCATGGGCCGGATTTGGCCCGTACGAAATGAATAAAACTATTGAAAAAAAAGACCGTACCCTTTTATGTAATGATGTTTACTTTGAATTTATATTAGTTCACACAAACACTCCGTCCATGCTTTTGTTCCGACCCTCCGGTCCAGTTTAAGAACCCATTGTGGCCCTCGAGTCAAAAAGTTTGCCCACCCCTGGTCTAGCATGTCTCCCTCTGGGGATCAAGCCCGAAATCAGGTATGTGTCCTGACCAGAAATCGAACCAGCAACCTTTTGGTGCATGGGATGATGCCCAGCCAATGGAGCCACAGCACCCAGTGCTTCCCAGTCTTCTTTTGGACTGAAAATTTTTTCATTGTTCCTTTTATGTCACCCTCCAACCCCCATAACAAGTTTGGAAGTTATGTATTTGGTTTTTGTTATTTAGAGGTTACCCCCAAAATTACAAGAGGCCTCCCTAACTTTTCAGTATTTAAAATTCCCTTTACCTTCTTCCCTGATAATATATAGAGTTTAAAACACTTCATTTCTCTCTAATAATATGTAATCTTAAAGAACACTTTAATCTCATTACCCCTTTTCAAAATGGAGTATTGTTGTAAATTTTAATTCATTTTTTTAAACTTCATTAGACATTTTAAACAGTCACTGTTCATTTTGTACATTTATCTCTTCTTTTTTTTTTCCCCCATGTCTCAGACCTGAGATTATTTCCTTTTGTTTGAAGTGTTTTAGAATTTTGGAACTAGAAGAGGATCTGCTCTTCCGTGTTTTGGTTTGACTGAAATTGTATTTAGTTCTTTTTTTTTTTTTTATTATATATATATATAGAGAGAAACATCGATCAGCTGCCTCCTGCACATCCCCCATTGGGGATGTGCCCGCAACCCAGGTACATGCCCTTGACCGGCATCGAACCCGGGACCTCTCAGTCCGCAGGCTGACGCTCTATCCACTGAGCCAAACCGGTTTCGGCTAAAATTGATTTTTAGAAAGGGAGACAGGAAGAGAGTGATAGAGAAACATCAATGTGAGAGTGAAACATCAATTGGCTGCCTCCTGCTCGCCCCCTACTGGGTATCCAGCCTACAACTAGGGCTGTGCCCTGCTCAGAGAATGGAAGTGGCAACCTTTTGGTGTAGTAGAGGATGATGCCCAACCAGCTAAGCCACACAGGCCAAGCTTTAGTGTTCCTTCTTGAAAGATGTTTTGGCCGGGCAAAGATTTCTAGATTAGCAGGTGTTTTCTTACAACATATTGCTAATATCATTCCATGCTGTCTTTCTGACTCCCATTGTTGCTGGTAAGGTCACTGTTTGGGAATTAGCAATCTCCTGCCTTTTAAGAGTAACGTATCTTCTTTCCTCTGGTTGTGTTGAAAGATTTTCTTTCTTTTTGTGGGGAGAAGAGGGGCTGTTTGGTTTTGTTTGTAGTATTTTGTTGTGTATAGGTGTAGATTTCTGTTTGTTTATTCTCAGGATTTGCTAAACCAGTGGATTAGTTCTGGTGAATTCTTAGCCAATTTCTGCTATTATTTCCCATAAGTCTATTTTTTCTCTCTAGTCTTCCTGTTATTCCCCAAGTATTTTGGGATCAGGAATTCATCCTTGCATCTCTTATTGAGCTTTGTGAGTTTAACAAGAGTTATTTGGGAGTCTTTCTTCCTAAGGTGAAATTTTCCAGCTCTTCTGAAGAAAAGAGTTTTTTTCTTTTTTAGCCCCTTGTTCTTATTCTGTTTTCATGTTCGGAGACGTCTCTTTGGTTCAGAATTCTTGCCTATCTTTAACTTTTTATGTATTAAGGTCAGTTGGATTTTGGGGGGGGACGGGGGTGGAACCCGCAGCCTGGGCACATATCCTTACCATGAATCAAACCTTCCACCTTTCCGTGTATGGGATAATGCTACAACCGAGCCACACTGGCCTGGGCTGGATGTTAACTTTTTGTTGTTATAAATAATTGCCTGAAATATCTTTCTGTAATCTTTTACTTGTTTGGATTATTTTCTTTGGGTGAGAATATTAGGGGTGGAATTAATAGTTATTTCATTTTGATGGTTTGTGGTAGAGCAGGTGTGTCTTTCCTGATTTTATGGGAGACTGAAACTGAATTAATTGGTTTGTTTAAGGTGACATAATTTATGATGAAGTCAGAGGAGAAAACTCATTACTACTATGCCTGGTTGTGTGATTCTGGCTTCTTACTTTACCTGATAACACTCATGTTCATTCTCCGCTACCTATTGAAGGCAGTTGTTTTATAGTTATACTTCCTGATAGTATAATTACTTAATTAGTAGGGGAAGACAGAACTAACATCACGTCATAGATTGATTATGGCTGGATTTGTCATAAAGCATGTAATAATAATGGAGTTTTATTGTTATTGGATAACAAGGTAGTGGTTAAGAGCTTGGGATCCAGAGCTGGACGGTCCAGCTTTGAATTCTGGCTCTGCCACTTACTAAATCATTTACTACTACATGACTAAAGGTATATAGTAAAATAAGAGTAATACCATAGTATCTTACTTAAGAGGATTAAAGGGGAATCTGTGCTTGGCACATAGCAAAAACCAAGTAAATATTAATTTATTTGAAGTACAGTGGAACCTCGTTTCTCAAACTTAATTCATTCCAGAAGTCTGTTTAAGAAGTGATTTATTCGAAAACCAAATCAATTTTCCTCATTAGAAATAATGTAAATTGAATGAATCCATTCCAAATCCCCCAAATGATTCTGTTTTTATATATAGGACATGTCTAATATACTGTTTATAAATAAACATTTCTTCTCTTAAATGTATCAAACCACCCCCTACTATCCTTAAATGAATTTTTCACATATCACTGCCTCAGAAATGCTATCACCAGTAACTGCTTTTTGTTTATACAATCAACAACAGTTTTTCTACCTATTCAATTGCCTGTGATTCTTGTTATGTGAGCACTTTCACACCCTTAGCACATTAGCAGTCTTGATGGCCTCTTTATGTTTTAAAATTGTGCTAATTGAGGATTTCCGCCAGCAACAAAAGCATTCTCTCCTTTGTTGCCTGAGAGACTTTTGTCATATTGGGGTATCAGCTTGAAAGGTCAAAAACCCAAGTTTTGCTCCACCACATTTTTTTCTGTGAACAGCTAGGTGGAGAACTGAATTGTTTTGAGATGTTTAAGAACCGAGGTTTCATTAGAATTTAGGACTTGAATAAACAAGCAAATTTCATATTTATCAATAATTGACAAAGAAATTAATTGATCACAAATGAAATTATGTCAAAAAATTTTGGGAAACTCATTCAAATTGTAGTTTTCTGTAGAGGCAAATAAATATTTGTTTTTCCACCTGTCTTGGTATCTTGGTTTTAAAGTTCCAAAGCCATCTAGCCTTGAAGTCATGTTTTTTTTTTTCTGATAACTTGCAAATGGTTAACAGGCAAAAACGGCCTGTTGGGCTTTTAAATCTTTGTATAATAAGATGTAGTTTGTCTCATTTCCTAGTAACTATATACATGAAAAATAATCACAGTATTTTCAGTAAGATTTTCTGTGAGATTTAACTTAGTTCTGTGTGAATAGAGTCTTAAAACGCAAATGGTAACATACATCATTAAATTGAGCCCAGTTGTTTGATATCCTTCAACCTCAGACATTATTATTTTTATTTGAATTATATTAATTCACTCAGCTTACTCTTTTTGAATACTTAATCTGTGCCAGGTGGATAGTGTTTTTAGCATTAAGGAGGGAAGATTGAGTCTGAGGGAAGGAAGGTAGGAGATTTGTACTGTTTATTAGGTGTTAAGGCATGGATATGGATTTAGATCAGAAATGGAGGCATTTGGATTGCAGATCAATTAGATACTATTTTTGGAGAAAAGATTAACTCATGGTCTCTGCATTGGACAAGTCCAAAGGAGCTTGATTGATGCACATTGTATTCTGCAAGAATGTTGTCCTTTGGAGCTGTGTAGTGCACTGTTCTGGATGCAGCCTCTCCTGCATGTCCTGGGAAATAACTAAGTCAGTTGTATTGACGTTGCTGGAATCTAGCCTGTACCTTTCAGGATCATTTCATTTGTTCATTATTGTTCATTAATAAGTAGGATGTTTGTTTGTTTGGGAAGGATGTAGACTATCACCTTCAGAAGGGACCACAGCCTACTCCCCAGCCTAGTTTTATTGAGATATAATTGACAAATAACATTGTACTGGGATCACAGTCTCTTGACATTGTTACAATTTCTTTTTATAATTTTCTCTCTTTTTCCCCCCTGATGTGTTGTGATCCAAATACTAGGGCAAAGATAATTTTTTCCTTGGTATGTTTCTATTTTAGTTCTTTATAAATTAAAATAGCTGATTTATTTTCCCAGAATATTGGTAGATTACTTATATAAAACAAATACAAGTTAAGATTTACTACTGTATAAAGGGCTATGTTATGAACAATTAAGACAAAGCATTTTAGTTGTAATTATTGTTAAGCTCGAGTGTTTTCATCTAGAATTTTTGGGCATTGCTTTCTTAGAAGGCTAATGGGAAAAAGTTTGATTCTTATTGATGCCTATGTTTTGTCTGTCTAAAGTGTCAACCCAAGAAAAAGTCAACACCACTGAAGTATGAAGTTGGAGATCTCATCTGGGCAAAATTCAAGAGACGCCCTTGGTGGCCCTGCAGGATTTGTTCTGATCCATTGATTAACACACACTCAAAAATGAAAGGTAATATTTGCAATTGATTTCACATGATAAAAACCAGTTTGGAATTATAAACTCGCAGATCCCTTTAGTATAACCCAACTTTGGTTGCTGTTAGCAATAATTCATTTTTACCTTTGAGCATTTCATGTATAGATTGTTATTTATTTTTCCTTTTTGGATTTTTTATATGTTTGTTTTATTTTACTCTATAATTTAAACTTTTTCAATTATTCTCTCTGTAGATGGCAGGAAAATGTCAGGCTTATTACCTAAAGTTTACATTGTCTAGAATCCTTTTCAGTATATTTGTTTTTCTACTTTAATCTTCAGTTTTTGTATTGTGTGTTTTCTTTTTGGTTAAAGCTAAAACAGTTAAAAAATGAGTATAAGTTATAAATTATTTCAAATTTTAAAATCTTGATTTAGAATATTACCATTCATTACTGTTATATTGCTTATTCTGTTGAATCTCATGATTTATCACTAAAATGCTATAAGATAGGAGCTGAAAATTGATCTTGCTCCCTCTTTTCTCTTAAGATGGTTTATGATTTTACTATAGTTTTAATATATATATTTTAGTTTTTGAATAGGTTATATATGCACAAGATTCAAAAAATCATCATATTTCCTCCTTTTCTCTGATCTGTTCTGTTCTTTTTAAAAAATATTTCTTTTATTTATTTATTAATATATTTTTATTGTTTTCGGAGAGGAAGGGAGAGAGAAAGAGAGAGAGAAAGAAACATCAATGATGAGAGAGAATCATTGCTTGGCTGCCTCCTGCACGCCCCCCACTGGGGAATCGAGCCTGCAACCTGGGCATGTGCCCCTGAACGGAACTGAACCTGGGACCCTTCAGTCCGCAGGCCAATGCTCTATTCACTGAGCCAAACCAGCTGGGTTGATCTGTTCCATTCTTTACCCTTTCAAACAAATTGTTATGAATGTTTCTATAAATCTACATATATATTCTCATATCCCTACCCTTTTAATTTTAACATAAAAGTTGCATATTGTATGTTTGTTCTATAGTAACTTTTTTTTTACTTCTTGGAGTTTTCCCCTATTAGTGCATTAAAACTTCCGTCTTTTTTCCTTTTTATAGCTGCATAGTTCTTCCACTTTTTGAATATGCTGTACTTTAGATAACCAATTCCCCTGTTGATGAATGTTAATTTGTTTCTAATCTTGTGTTGTAAAGATAATATACATACATACATGTGCATACATACATGTTTGTGTGTACCCACAAGTAATGCTGTAAAGAATTACTGTGTGGCCAAAACCGGTTTGGCTCAGTGGATAGAGCGTCGGCCTGTGGACTGAAGGGTCCCAGGTTCGATTCCGGTCAAGGGCATGTACCTGGGTTGCGGGCACATCCCCGGTGGGAGATGTGCAGGAGGCAGCTGATCGATGTTTCTCTCTCATCGATGTTTCTAACTCTCTATTTCTCTCCCTTTCTCTCTGTAAAAAATCAATAAAATATTAAAAAAAAAAGAAAAAAAGAATTACTGTGTGTGTTTCATATATACATGTTTATTTATCTGTAGGATGATTTACCAAAAGTGGGATTGGTTGATTTGATTTTATATATTGATTATTGAGTTGCCCAAAGACCTTTATAGTTCACTGTTTTTTAAAAAATGGTATCTTGCCCTGGCCGTGTGGTTCTTTTGGTTGGAGTGTTGTCCCATACTCCTAAGAGGTTGCAGGTTTTATTCCCAATTCCTGGTTGGGGCATCTAGGGGAGGCGGCCAATGAATGTTTCTCTCTCTCTCTCTCTCTTTCTCTCTCTCTCTCCCTCCCTCCTTCACTCCCTCCCTCCCTCTCATTAATAAAAACATATCCTCAGGTGAGGATTTAAAAAAAAGGTATCTAGCCCGGCTGGCCAGCCAGTGTCGCTCAGTGGTTGAGTGTTGACCTATGAACCAGGAGGTCACGGTTAGATTTTAGTTGGGGTACTTGCCCGGATTTTGGGCTCTATCCACAGTCGGAAGTGTGTAGGAGGCAGCTGATCGATGATTCTCTGTCATTGATGTTTCTATTTCTCCCTTTCTGTTCCTCTCTCTGAAATCAGTAAAAACATATTAAAGAATTTTTCCCCCTTCTATCTGACTTACGTCAGAGTTTATTGTCCTGAAGGTTTTTTAGCTTACTGATTTTTTTGGGGGGTCTTACTTGGTGACAGAGGCTTCTTTGGTGTCAGAGGCTTCTTTGGCGACAGTGGTATGTGTGTGGATGTTACCTTGATGAACAGTCATCTTTTTAAAGTAATGACACTGTTTTTTATCCTTATCTAGTTTCGAACCGGAGACCTTATCGACAGTACTATGTGGAGGCTTTTGGAGACCCTTCTGAGAGAGCCTGGGTGGCTGGAAAAGCAATTGTCATGTTCGAAGGCAGACATCAGTTTGAAGAGCTACCTGTCCTTAGGAGAAGAGGGAAGCAAAAAGAAAAAGGATATAGGCATAAGGTAAAAAACAAAATAAAACACACATACATGAAAGAACAGAAGCCTCTCAAATTATCTTCTGGAGGGTAGGCAAAGAGGAAGCAAGGAAAAAATATTCTATTTTTGAAATATAAGTTTATTCCCTTTGGTAGATGGATATTTGTGAGAAAATAGATAGAAAGCAAGGTTTTTTTTGCAGGGATGAGATGGGGCTAGCCTTCCAAATATTTATACTCAATTTTTAAAAAAAATATATTTGATTGATTTTTCACAGAGAGGAAGGGAGAGGGATAGAGAGTTAGAAACATCGATGAGAGAGAAACATTGATCAGCCGCCTCCTGCACACTCTCCACTGGGGATATGCCCGCAACCAAGGTACATGCCCTTGACCGCAATTGAACCTGGGACCCTTGAGTTCGCAGGCCGATGCTCTATCCACTGAGCCAAACCAGCCAGGGCTATACTCAATCTTTTGAGAAATTATTCCAGTTAATTTTTGCCATGTCACTTAGATGTGACAGTACAAAATGACAAAACCAATCTTCTTTGGTTATATCTTATGTAAAAAGAAACTGATCATCAAAATGAAATTCTTCTTACTCTCTAGATTAATTATTTCTTTTAAAAATGGGAATAATAGAAAAAAACGGGAAAGGTATAAAGCTTTAAACATTTTTGTTTTGTTTGTTTTGGTTTTTGTGTTCAGTTATTAGTGCTTAAGATTGGAGTTTCATACCTGGTTATGTTTGTTTGTTCTTTGTTAATCCCCACCCAAGGATATTTTTTTCCATTCATTTTTAGAGAGATTGTAAGGAAGGGAGGAAAAGAGAGACAGAAACATCAAGTGAGAGAGACACATTGATTGATTTATCCCTAATTCCTGACCAGGGCATGTAGGGGAGGCGGCCAATGAATGTTTCCCCCACGTGCCCTAACCAGGGCTGGACATCGAACCTGCAACGCTGGTATATGCCCTTGATCTGGAATCAAACCTGCTTCACTTTGGTATGCAGGCCAACGCTCTAACCATTGGGCAACAACGGCCATGCTATACCTGGTTATGTTTGTCTTTGCTTGTTTGTTAATCCTCACTTGAGGATTTTTTTATTTTATTGATTTTTAGAGAGAGTAGAAGAGAAGGAAGGAAGGAAGGAGGGAGGGAGGGAGGGAGGGAGGGAGGGAAGGAGAGAGAGAGTGAGAGAGAGAGAGAGAGAAAGAAAGAAAAAAAGAAAGAAATCAATTGGTTGCCTCCCAAACATTCCCTGACCAGGGCCAGGGATCAAACCCACAACCCAGGTATGTGCCCTTGGCTGGGAATTGAACTTGAGAGTCTTCGAAATCATGACTAGGATAATTTAGAATCGATATGCAGTCCCTGCTGTTTTTAATTTGAGTTCTTTTTATTTTTTTAAAAAAATTTTGGAATCCTCACCCGAGGATATTTTTCCATTGATTTTTAGAGAGAGCAGAAGTCGGGGGGCGGGGAGAGGAGAGTGAGAAACATCGATGTGGAGACATCGACGGGTTGCTTCCTGCATGCCCCTTGACTAGGATTGAGCTCACAACCGAGGTATGTACCCTTGACCTTGACCAGGAATTGAATCTGCGACCCCTTAGTCTACGGGCCATCACTCTAACCACTGAGCAAAATCAGCCAGGGTGAGTTCTTTTTAAAAATATTTTTATTGGGTTTTAGAGTGAGATAGAGGAATCGAAAGAGAGAGCAAAACATTGATCTGTTGCCTCCTGCATGCCCCTTACCAGGAATTGAGCCCACAACCCGGGCATGTGCCATGACCAGGAATCCAACCAGCAACCTTTTGGTGCGTGGGTCGATGCCCTACCAACTGTAGCAAAGTCAGTCAGGGCTAATTTGTGTTCTTTGAGGACTAGTGTCTCCAACTCAAAAACTAGTGTAATCATACGTTCTTGTACAACTATTGTGTGGATTAGAAGTAATTATAAATATTTAATATGGCGTAAGGTTGATGCTCTAAAACAGTGGTCGCCAACCTTTCAGACCTCATGGACCACCAGTTGGTGACTGCTACTTAAATAAAACAACTAGCATTTGCTGCTGTTAGGATTAAGGAGGTTAATAAGTATATCCTTTCTAATACTTTGGGTGGTTTTCGGTCAGATGGTGTCAAGAGTTTTTGTGCCAAGCCTTTAGCTGTGTAGATTAAACAACTCCCTTTTCTGAGGAGTTCATTAGGTCTTTCAGGTTCTGGAGAATTTATTTACTCTGGTCACACTTCTGACAATTAATAGGTATGTGTTTGCTTGTGAAATAAACCAGATGATCAGTTTGGTGCTTTATAAAAGGCGGCTACCTATATAGTGACCTGATTTTCACATGCTCAGCAGAACATCCCTTTCACAAGTATTGAAGTAATTTGTGAACACTAAGTGATGGTTAGAACCATGACTAATATCTATTTTATGAAGCCAAGGAGAGAAAAAAGGGTCTGGAAAGTTGGGTATATTTCATAGAGTCTTAATGTCCTCATACTGTGAGGAATCAAGAAAAGAATATGTCGTGCTTGCTTCGGCAGCACATACACTAAAATTGGAACGATACAGAGAAGATTAGGATGGTCCCTGCACAAGGATGACACACAAATTCGTGAAGCATTCCATAAAAAAAAAAAAGAAAGAAAAGAACATGTGTAATTTGTTATACCCAGGGTGTTTTGGTGTCTCTGTATGACATCATTAAGTCCATGAGACTGCTTGGTTATAATCCAGATTGTATGTAACATGTATAGAAGAAACTTGATTAGCTAAGGACCTACTGATAACCAGAGGTCCAAATTTCAGGTGTCCTAGGACAGGTCTGACCAACTTATTTTTCCTGTTCTTGTTTTTTCATATTTATCTTCTTTATTTAGCCTTTTATTCTCTCTTTTATGCAGCTGAGCAAATGCTTAGCTTTCATAAGTCAGGAAGAAAATATATTGTTATTTAGGTGTCGGGGTAAGTAGGAAGGGTCTGGTTATTTCCTGATTTGGTAATGTGATGTTAATTAGTAATGTAATGTTGTAGTCCAACTTATGGTCCACTCTTTTGTGCTTTACAAAGGCAGGGAGAATGGATAAAGGTTTATGAGATCAACCTTTCCTCTAATGATAGATCTTAGTGGTAAAGTAGTGTTGAGGAATCTCCATTAATTAAGCTCTGGGTGAGCTGTAAGAGCTCACTACCTAACTGGTCCCATAAAAGGGCCTTGAAGAAGTGCAATAAGACTTTGAAAAATAGATTTGTGAAGTGTTCATTGAATATCTCCCTATTTCTTTCTCCCATTTCTTTGATAAGTAATAACCTTTTTCTCCTTTAAATTTAAGGTTCCTCAGAAAATTTTGAGTAAATGGGAAGCCAGTGTTGGTCTTGCTGAACAGTATGATGTTCCCAAAGGGTCAAAGAACCAAAAATGTGTCAGCAGTTCAATCAAATTGGACAGTGAAGAGGATATGCCATTTGAGGACTGTACAAATGATCCTGAATCAGAACATGACCTGTTGCTTAATGGCTGCTTGAAATCTCTGGCTTTTGACTCTGAACATTCTGCAGATGAGAAGGAAAAGCCTTGTGCTAAGTCTCGAGTCAGAAAGAGCACTGATAATCCAAAAAGGACTTGTGTGAAAAAGGGCCACATGCAGTTTGAAACAAATAAGGAAGAACGGAGGGGAAAGATTCCAGAGAACCTTGGCATAAACTTTATTTCTGGGGATGTATCTGACAAGCAGGCCTCTAATGAACTTTCCAGGATAGCAAACAGCCTCACAGGGGCCAGCACTGCCCCAGGAAGTTTTCTGTTTTCTTCTTGTGCAAAAAACCCTGCAAAGAAAGAATTTGAGACTTCAAATTGTGACTCTTTACTGGGCTTGTCTGAGGGTGCCTTGATTTCTAAACGTTCTGGGGAGAAGAAGAAACTTCAACGAGGTTTGGTTTGTAGTTCAAAGGTACAGCTCTGCTATATTAAAGCAGGTGATGAAGAAAAACGAAGTGATTCCATTAGTATTTGTACCACTTCTGATGATGGAAGCAGTGATCTGGATCCCATAGATCACAGTTCAGACTCTGATAACAGTGTCCTTGAAATTACAGATGCTTTTGATAGAACAGAGAATATGTTGTCCTTGCAGAAAAATGAAAAGGTAAAGTATTCCAGGTATCCTGCCACAAACACTAAGGTAAAAGCAAAGCAGAAGTCCCTCATTACTAGCTCACTTACAGACCACTTAACAGAGTGTACTAAGACAGCAGAGTCTGGAACTGAGACATCTCAGGTTAACCTCTCTGATTTTAAAGTGTCCACTCTTGTCCGCAAACCCCAAATGGATTTTAGAAATGATGGTTTCTCTACAAAATTCAACACCCCATCAAGCATTTGCAGTGAGACCTCACTAATAAAGGGTGGGGCTACAAATCAAACTCTGTTACACTCGAAAAGCAAACAGCCCAAGATCCGAAGTATAAAGTGCAAACATAAAGAAAATCCAGTTGTAGAACCTCCAGTTACAAATGAAGACTGCAGTTTGAAATGCTGTTCTTCTGATACCAAAGGTTCTCCTTTGGCCAGCATTTCCAAAAGTGGGAAAGGGGATGGGCTAAAACTACTGAGCAACATGCATGAGAAAACCAGAGATTCGAATGACATAGAAACAGCAGTGGTGAAACACGTTCTGTCTGAGTTGAAGGAACTCTCTTATAGATCCTTAAGTGAAGATGTCAGTGAATCTGGAACATCAAAGCCATCAAAACCATTACTTTTTTCTTCTGCCTCTAGTCAGAATCATATACCTATTGAACCAGACTATAAATTCAGTACCTTGCTAATGATGTTGAAAGATATGCATGATAGTAAGACCAAGGAGCAACGGTTAATGACTGCTCAAAACTTGGTCTCCTATCGGAGCCCTGGTCTTGGAGACTGTTCTACCAGTAGTCCTCTAGGGACTTCTAAGGTCTTAGTTTCAGGAGCCTCCAATCATAATTCAGAAAAAAATGGAGATGGCACTCAGGATCCAGTCTATCCTAGCCCCAGTGGGGGTGACTCTGCACTGTCTGGGGAGTTGTCTGCCTCCCTACCTGGCTTAGTGTCTGACCGAAGAGACCTCCCTGCTTCTGGCAAGAGTCGTTCAAACTGTGTTACTAGACGCAACTGTGGGCGATCAAAGCCATCCAAATTGCAAGATGGTTTTTCAGGTCAGATGGGAAAGAACACAGCGAACCATAAAGCCTTAAAGACAGAGCGCAAAAGAAAATTGAACCGGGTTCCAGCTGTGATTCCAGAGGCTGCACTGCCAGGAGACAGACAGAATGCAGCCTCAGAGAATGGCTCCTTGGGAGGTGGAGCAGAAGACCCTGCTAAAGAAGATCCCCTTCAATTAATGGGCCATTTAACAAGTGAAGACAGTGCCCATTTTTCTGATGTTCATTTTGACAACAAAGTCAACCAGTCTGAGCCTGATAAAACGGAACAAGGCTCCATCTTTGAAAACAGAAAAGGTCCAGAGCTGGACTCTGAAATGAACAGTGAAAATGATGAACCCAATGGTGTTAATCAAGTAGTACCTAAAAAGCGGTGGCAGCGTTTAAACCAAAGGCGCACTAAACCTCGTAAGCGCACTAACCGATTTAGGGAGAAAGAAAACTCTGAGGGTTCCTTTGGGGTCTCACTTTCTGCTGACCCTGTAAAGAAGGGGGGTGAGTTCCCAGAGCATAGACCTTCTCCTTCAACAAACATATTGGAGGATGTGCTGACAGATCCAAATCACACCGGGCACTTAGATTCAGTTGGGCCACTGCTGAATGTTTGCGATAAATCCAGTGCCAACACTGAGGAGATGGAAAAGGAGCCAAGAATTCCCACTTTGACTCCCCAGCCTGAGCTTCCTGAACCAGGTAAGAATTCCTGACTGTCATAGAATGGGATTAGAGGAAGTGATGACATGATCTCCTTTGAAGTTCTTAATGGAAAGGCTAAGTGTAAATTGGGAGGGAAGGATTATCACTTGAAGAAAGGGCTTACTGCAGACAAGTTTGAGTTTTGAGGATCAGCCTTCCATATACTTTCACAAATTATGCTTTATTAGAAGCTCTATTTTTTTTTCCCTCTTGTTTTTAGTAAGCTTCAGAACATTTTGTTGTGTTTTTTACTTTTAAATCTGTGAACTTTTTCGGTTTCAATATGGTATTGCATGTAGTTGAGAATCTCTGAGCCGAGTTAAGTTCAATTGTTAGTTTACAGAAATCAAATAGATTTTATTTAACGTTAAGCGTCCTTTGGCCACAACTTAAGGTAGGCTCACCTGTCAGATACATAAAAGGAACATGTTGCTTTGAAAAAATGGAAATGGCCCTGGTCAGTTTGGCTCAGTGGTTAGAGTGTCAGCCCTCAGACTAAAGGGTCCTGGGATTCGATTCCTGGTCAAGAGCATATACCTGGGTTGTGCTTGTGTGGGAGGCAACCAATCGATGTGTCTTTCTTACATCGTTTTTGTTTTTTTATATATTTTTATTGATTTCAGAGAGGAAGGGAGAAGGAGATAGAGAGATAGAAATATCAATGATGAGAGTGAATCATTGATTGGCTGCCTCCTACACACCCCTACTGGGGATCGAGCCTGCAACCTAGGCATATGCCCACAACAAGAATGGAACCCGGACTCTTCAGTCCACAGGCTGATACTCTATCCACTGAGCCAAGGCAGCTAGAGATCACATTGATGTTTTTATCTCCCCCTCCCCTCCTTCTATTCTGTCTGAAAATCAATGGAAAAAATAACCTAACCTCAGGTGAGTTTTGTTGTTGTTGTTGTTTTTAATGAAATAAGGAAATGTTCTAAGGCTCTAGATGGCTTATATCATTTCTGAAATGAGGTTTTAGAATGAAGTGCCACGGTATCCTAGCTTAGCAGCAGAAGGAATATAAGTCTTTCAATATATTAATAAATACATTATAGTTATTGAGGATACAACTAATTTCTCAGATTTGTTTATTAGACTAAATTCTGTTTTCAAACAGCTTTATTGAGATACAATTTATAAAGTATAAAATTCATCTATTTTAAGTTGATACTTGGTGTTTTTTAAGTATATTCACAGACCAGTGTGAGCACCAACATATCAATTTTGGAACATTTGCATCACCCCAGAAAGAAACCTTGTACCCTTTTTCAGTCTGCCTTTATTTCTCCCCAGTCTGTAGATATGCCTATTCTGTACCTCTTGTATAAACAGTATCATACAATATGTGGTATTTTTGTGTTTGGTTCTTTTGCTTAGCATGTATCAATGCTTCATTTTTAATATTGTAAAAAAAAATCACATAAATGTACCCTATGAACAAGTTTAAAGTGCACATGATAGTATTAAATATGTGCACATGGTTGTACAACAGATCTCTAGAACTTTTTCTTTTTTTTTTAATATATTTTTTATTGATTAAGATCAGAGAGGAAGGGAGCGAGATAGAGAGTTAGAAACATCAATGAGAGAGAAACAACGATCAGCTGCCTCCTCACCATCTCACATTGGGGATGTGCCCGCAACCAAGGTACATGCCCTTGATCAGAATCGA